CAAATCTTAATCCTAAACAGATTGCACGAATCTGTATAGTTTTGGCTATAAAAGAAGTTAAACTATTTCACGTACGAAAACTTACCGTACCGATCTATCTTCGATGAAATCAAATTTATATTTTTACCTGAATATACACTAAAAATAAAAATAATAACTTGTAGAGTTGCCAACAAGTTTCCCGCGCAACACTGTCTGTTATCTGTTGCAGTGATAACCGACACTCGGTCCGCCATGTTTCACGAGTTTATGGCGAAACGTCGTCTGTAAATCACAACTCCGTGTGCTACTCGAGCTCAGCCAACTTACAACCAGAGTAAATCACCAATTAATTGCTTCACAGGGACATGCGGCGCTTGCGATAACTGCAACTCGTAGTTGTGAATCTATATTGTCTCGTTACCATTAAAATTTGAATGTTTTTTCTTCTTCTTTTGTTTCAATAAATGCATTGTGGGTCTCGTGTAGTTCTCTTTCAAATCATCATAGACAAAAGGAATCAACATGTGAGACAACCAGCAGTTATAACAGTAACGTTCATCCGCTGTTTTTATCGAAGAAAATAGTACCCACTAACAAATAAATGTATCATCCGACGGTGTCGTATAGGCTTGTGTGTTTGTGTAAATATATCGTGTTATTAAAAATATATATCCCACAACGAATCCTTTGTCGACATTTATACGAATTGTAAAAAAAAAGAATAGAAAGAAAATATGAATGTATATGGTATTGAAATAACGGTCACAATAGAAAAACTAATAAAAAAGAAACAATATGTCCCCAATGGTGGCACGATATTTGAATTATCATTCGTAATTCTCTCTTTTTAATAAATGTAATTTTCTTCTTCTATGAAACTGGCTACAGATAGTTAACGTATCTTTGAAGTCTACTTCTTTTTTTTCTTTTTTTTTTTACTACGCCAGTGGCATTTCACAAGAGAAGTTACGAGAAATCAAAGTTTAGTCAAATGACTAAACTTTGTTCTGTATACAAATTCAATTTCAACGCACCACAAAATTGTTTCTTCGATTGACTCAATCAAACCCGATCCAACCCCGCCGTAACACACTATAAGCGGTGAGTGATATATCCATCAAGTAATTAGCGGTGCGAATAAAGATGAAGCCATTAATTTGGAGTAAACTTTGTAGACAAAGTGGGCTTAGTGAAGGCGGTGTGCTTAAAGGCTTAGTTGGCCACGTGAGCAGGATGATGAGCACAAACCCTCCGTTATAGTCTTATCTTACCCGTACAGGTGAGGCTAGTGCTAACATAGTGCAGGGTTTATGACAGATTGAGGATATTTAGGCAGTACTCGTGCAGATTTGAGTTTCACCATTGCTAATTCCTTATAGTATTAGATTAAAGTATTGTTTTCAATTAATTGCCATGGATTAATCACTTCTTATAATAGATTTAATATCTTAAGCACGTTGTCTCATGAGGGTTGTTGTAGGTGTTTACAGGCAATAAATACAAACAGAGGTGTCGCACGAAAAAATTTTTAGGGAGGACAGTTTTCATTTCCAATCTATATTACACTGATTTCTCAGCTATATTACTCCGAATTTTCCAACTATATTGAGTGAATTTCCCAACTACATTACTCGAGTTTCTCAACTATATTACTCAAATGTCAAAACTAGGTAATTATTATGTTTTAACAGTAAGAAAGAAATGTTACCTTTAAAACATCTTTATACCTGACATACACGAATAGCAATAAATGATAATTTTACTGTCATTAAACTATAGTGATCAATAATACATTAAGTTTACATCCTTTTCAAATAGATTTTTTAATAAACACTCAGCGGATACAACTCTCCACGCACAGCTCTTGAATTATGTTGTACTTCGGATGCGGTATGTAAAGTACTGAAGATACTCAACATATAGAATTTTCAACACGTTTTACTTGGATTATTAATTTATACAGTAGGGTAGAGTTAGCTTGGTTTGAAAAAACCTTTAATTCAACAATTTCAAACTTCCGTAAATCCCAATTCATAGATTTAAATACCCAAAAATTCCCAAACACTTTTCAAAGATGATTAGGAGTGGCTCCCACCTCCCCCCCCCACACCAGGGTGACGCCTCTAGGTGTCTATAATTTCTACAATTCACTTTTAATAGAAAAAATCTAAACATCGGGTTAAGCATGTGAAATTGTTTACATTAAAATACACAACACAATGAACATAAAGACACACAATGAATCTACTTCCTCACTGATCCTTTAGTATTCAAAGATCAGCTGATGACGATTTTGAAGCGTGTTCCTGTTTGTATAAGGATTGAGTTTTGGTGTTTGCTATTCGTTTGTTGTTGTTTTTATTGCACAAACTTTCAATTATGTTAACCAAATAAAATTAGGTATAAAATATTAATTTTCCTCTGGCATTGTAACTAAAGAGTAAAGTACACAAGAAAAAATTTTGTACATAAAATGAATTACTAAGATAAACAGTCTGTAGCACTCTCAAACATAACCGAAGATAAACGAGTATTCTGATACAACACTGGTAAATCTACTTGCATTATCCAAAGTCAACGAAGGTACAATTAGTACAATAATTGTTTTCAAAAGTTTTACACGTAACTATTTAGATCAGAAAATTGTGCTTGTGAAGAAAATAAAATCTATGATATTTATTTTAATTGGTTTCACTAATTCTGTGTAAACTGTAAGTCTTGTATTGTAAAAATTAATTGAAACCCTTTCGTCGGTAATAAACTCGTATAAAATAAACTGATACATGCTAACTAAACACGAAACCTGACATACTTACTAATACTATTACGTACCTGAAAAAGTATTTTCTTTGAACAGCCCAACATTTCTACAAAGGTTTAAACAACAAATTGCCACATTCCCTTTATTTTATCGAAGGCAATCAAGCGCGGGAGAGTAAATATTTGAAAGAGCCTGGCGGAGGCAGACAAATTGCAACTATAAGCCCGGTAATCCGACCATCAATTGATGGCTACCTAACCTGATGTAATCCGAGACGCCCGTCTATCCGGCTTACCTCACAATTAATGCCTCCACGCCAAATTAGCATCTAGATTGTCATCGATGTTCGGTTATTGTTATTGGATCAGTATCCATTCGGTGTTAACCGTGTGATTTGTTGTGTTTAGTGTAGACAACGTTGTTTAGCACAAAACACGTGGAGTTGAGAGAAAACGGCAACTTTGGACTTAGGAAAAAGATATATTGTAAGGAAAATGATGCAACGAAAATGTCTAAAAGGTTTAAGGACATAATCTGCCTTCTAAGTTTTTATACACTATTTAAACATAAATTACTCAGTATCTCGATAACACGAGTCGTACGTTAAGTATCCTAGATAAGGAGATGAAACGTATTTAAATTATTCCTGAAATATGATTAAGCTTAAAATCGAAAAGCTACTCTTATCAAGTTTTCATTATATGAAACCATTGACTTTTGGAAAATCATGGAGACATCCCATCTATATGGACTAGCCGTCGTCAGTTTTTTTCTTAAAGAGAATATAGTTAAATGAGCCACACACAGAATGCGCTGATGTCTAAAATCATACCATTGACTATTGGATACAGAAGTTGTTTTATTAATAGTCAAAGATCATACTTTATCCCATCATTATTGTTGTTACCGAGATAGATGTGGCATAAAATAAGCTATAACCATTGACTATTTTATACTAATTTAACATGGGGATGGAATTTCTAGATGTATTGATGGTCAAAGCTATAAATTACTATAATTCATCATATTAGTTTGACTTGGTTAAAGTACCCAACGTACTCGAAAGAAATCAGGTGGAATTTCTAGTTTTACCAATAGTCAAAAGTAAAACTCACATTTTAACCTGAAATTGTGTATAAACTGGGCAAACCCTCTAAAAGCCAAACAGAATTAACAAAACCAAAAACTATCGAAACTGAAAAGCGGTGAAAACTATTTTTACCGAAGTAAAACGATTTGTTCGATTTTTGTGGGTAGCGTGCACTTTATTACACTACCCACCACACTGAAAATCTGGGTGACGCGAACACCACACAAACAAAACTGCTCGTAGAGAAAACCGCCCGACCACCGCAGCCAAAACAAAATATTCATATTTTAAACACGCCAATGAGATACTCCCGTTCTGCCGACCGCGTAACCGACGCCATAAATAAGTATTGGAAAACTTTGCTGGTCCATTTGGCGAATGATTTTGTTATGTGAATTGTTTATCACGCGGTTTGGAAATTCCGATTCTTTAGAAGTCTTTAGATCTGTGTCAGTGTACAAAATCAGGGATTTCAGATACGGTACTAAGTGAAGGTACGATTTTTATATTTGAAGTATTTTTTGTGTATGAGTTGCGGTAATATTTGTTTAATCGATGTCCAATAAAAGTGTTGACTTTTCATACTATAATAATTAACACACACGTTATATCGATTTGAAACACACTATATATGTAGCTAACCGGAAGAAATCATTTATAAAAATTATTGAAATTGTGTGACAAAATTTACTATATACAACCTGAAAACTTAAATGAACGAGGAGAGTTTGTTTTTCATTGGCATTTTTAGGACTTTCCAACGTCAGACAGACCAAAAAGATTTGCAAATGAGAAAAAGTGTCGTTAAATTTTGTTGGATCCAATTCAAAATTACTATAGTACTAACTCTACGATTACTTGCTCCCTACATCGCGTAATTTTCTAACAGATGTCTTTTCATTGGAACCTCCAAACCCTAGATTATCAAAATTAGTTCCAACAAAATATAAAAACATAAATATTATAGCTTTCAAAACGTTGGAACATGTTTTACTAGTAGGAAGTGACACTTTGCCGTAGTTTGTATATTTGAACAATTAATGAAAATCAATCATCTCATAAACCAACTACTGTTATCGTTGCTAAGCTGCTTCAACTAAAAAAAAACAGACGAGATCAACTCTTCTGTCAACCTTAGTGATTTGGTGATGGCAATAAAAAATTCAGTGTGAGCCAAGCACATTTTATTAAATTAAATTTTACTAACATATCACATATTTTCTCTTTAATTGTCGCCATTAAATTGCAAATACAAAATTTGTTGACAAAAACTGTTAAGTAGAGTCAAATGCATCTTGGAATTCTTACTACAATCTATATACAGTAGTTAAATATCAAAATAGTCACACCCTTCAAAAATCTTACATAAACATGAATAGACTCCTTCTTCTAATAGCCTACAACTCATGGACAAAAGGTTATCTTAAAAACTTAAATGGTAATATCACAAATAACCAACACAGCAAGAGCATGTACAGTTTTTACAAAAGGTCATTCATCATGTATTTTAAAAATTAAATAATAGCTGGGTCGTTAGTAAAACCCAAACAGAAACACAACATATTTACGCTAAGATTAAAACTTATGTTCACTTGTACATTAATACGTAATTCATGAGTATTACAGTTGACAATATACTATTGACTGAAATCTTACACATTTGTTTATTTGGCCATCGAAAAGTTTATTTATTGTGTATCAATGTCCAATAAAAGTATGCTACTTTCAACCATAACTTTAACTGCCTTGGTAAATAATTTGATTGAGGGTATTATCAAGAAATAATACAACAATTTTGATTATTGGGCAAATATTAGAAATAATTGCGATACAAATATTCTTGTAATCTATGACAAAATTAAGAAAATAATCAGACACTCGATTTGGAGAATGGCAAATTAAATCATAAAACGTAAATCCTCTATTTAATTGTAATCGTTTAGTGTTTTCTATGTTTTGGACAGTAGAAGATTATACTTCATTCATACAGCAATTTCTTCTTTTGCGATTTCAATAAACAGCTACTATATTTGTCATAATCCAACAGTTATATCAATAAACTCTAAGAATTACAACGGCCAAAATATTTATCTAGTTAAGCAGAAGGAGGGAAAACAGCGTAAGTTTTGTCGTCGATGATCTTATACTTGTCTTCTCTGAAGAGAGGGAAGTTCCCGTAGATCTGCGCCACGGCGCGGGCGAAGATCTCGATCAAGACTTTGGGCAGAGGCTCAATGTCGGCCATTTTGGCAAGGTTGTCGTAGTACTGCGCGTCTTCGTCTACGGTTGTCTTGAAGTACATCTTCTTGGGTATCTCGGGGTCCACCAGCTTCCTTCTGGCGTGTTCCTCGATGTCGCGGAACATACCTTCCCTGGAGGGGAGGATGGAACTGTCTTGTAACGTCTTGACGAAGAACCGGACCTGGAATTAGTGGAGATTTAGTCACGCTGAAATTCGTATCATACAGCTGTGTATTCTGTCTAATATTTTTGAAAAGCATTTTAATACTCTACGTTTTCAAAGATTCGTCCTTTGACGAATCAACTCCTGTATAAAGGGACTACTTTTAAAATACAGTATCGGTAAGCGATTCAAATTTGTATCGAATGTTTTCTGATTGCAAGATCCTATAACAGCTATTACTATGGGTTGTTTTTACTATTGCTTGCCATTATTGTAACCTCAGTTGGTCTTTAACCCCCATCATTCTCCAGGTTGTCGAGAGTAAAGATTTTGTAGTTTCTAATAATTTAGCATTAACATTTTCCTTGTGTATTATTCTGCGTGAAAAGTAGAAGATATTCCCGGTTTTTTGTGTAAAATAAGTCCCTTATCACGAAATTCTCCTTATGGTTTTCCGTTTTTTTTTTCATTTTCCCTCCAAATATTAGGAGTCCTGGAGTTTATATAATGTAAATACGTTTATTGTACTTATCTATCAGCTTAGGTAAATTTTAAGGTATACTAATGGCCAGAAACAGTTTCTAAGTCTGTTGATGAGTTTTAATATACAAATAGCAGGGCCTTCCTTGCTGAGGTGCCTAAGATCACAAACGTACACATTGATTAACAACAATGATGCCAAGTCTATGATTAATCTCCTTTTAGAATAAGCTTTAATTAAGCTGAATTTACAATCCTGTGACTCACCTGTATGTCGAAGGTGGGGAATTGCATGGACATACACAGGTTGCCCAGTATGCACATTGTAGGGTTGTTGGCGTTTATGAAGTATTTGTACAGAGGGTAGACCAGTCCGTCGTCCTCTCTGATGCCGCAACTCTCGTCCATGAACGAGTAGTTGCACTTGAACCCTACAACAGTAAAGAAGAGATATAAATACAGTAAATATTTGGCTGAAATAAGGCAGACCAAGAAAATCAACAAGTCCATTCTTCAACTATACTGGCTCACACCTTGCTTAGTTCAAGTTTCAAACGCAGAGAGCTGTCCTCCATTTAGATGGACGAATTCAAGGTTTAAATACTAAAGTAATAACAGTAACTGTTCAAATTACCTGTACAGTATATGACGGCGTCTACTCTCTCAACAGTCCCGTCTCCAAACACTGCAGAGTCCTTGGTGAGACTCACGACGTCGGTTTTGAAAATTACATTGTCCAGTAGTGTGACGTTCTTCTCGTCAAAACGGTCGGAACGATGAGACAAGAATACCTGCCATTAACAAAGACACATTAGTAATTTAGGGCGTATACTAACAGTGATATGGAAACAATTTTGTTGTGTTTGGATTGATTAAAATTAATTAAAATATATTGATTATCACTAATTTTAGGTTTAGGAAATAATTGGTTATCATTTCAGCTATCTCTAGTTTTTATTAGCTTTAGTTTAAAGCTTTTACTACGAAATATCAAGAATTTATGCAGCAGAATGCTAATTCTCAAAACTTACATCTGCTGTATTTCTGTGTCTGATGTAGGTTTAGAAAAAGAACGAAATAATGTGAAACAAATTTATTTAAAACTTGTGATTTGTTTTTTTCAAAAGTCCACAAACGGTACACCAATCGTTCTAACACATAAAGTCCTTAAAACTTTAACAGTGTTGAAAATCAATACTTACTGCAATACCTTGGAACACATCGCGGCCCGTGGAGGCCTTATTCCTTGGTTCCAATTGGTGGCAAATAAAAAAAGGTTTCATGCAGAATCATACACCACATGTATGTAAGCGAGCAGGTTAACACATGGCTATACTACAGCTGGACTATGGTTAACCCTTCTCGCTATAAGGGTCATTTCGACCCTAGAGGCTCCGTGCATCGATTGGTTCTCAATTACCTTTGAGGCCTTAGGCCTCGCAGTCCCGCACTTACTCTGCCTTCACCTTCGCTTGAAGCCTTGGTGAAGCTAAGAACACACAACAAGTTTAATCATTTTACCAAACACTACGGCTATATTTTTCTCGTACTAATCGACCTCCAAGGGTTGAGCAAATTTGTAAGTAACCTATTTCTCGTTTGAGAAGTTGGATACAGTAGTTTCTTCTAGTTTGACCAGTCTACAGGCCTCAGGCTTGTGTATGGATCTTCAGCTGTTTAGCTGTTTGAAGTATAAAGTAAAACCAGGTGCGATGAATGCGATGTTCACATAAGCTTATAATGTAAAAGTTGTTTTCTAAATTGTAACATGTTTGGTTCGGTTGCCATCTAACGGTCATGGTATTGTCTGCTGATAAGCTCAGAGTGCTAAAAATGCAATATTTAAATAATTTTACTTCCCCACTGTCATTGCAACAAATAATGACTGTACATAGCTGCAGTTTTTCTGGTAATCTAAACAGGTTTACAAAATATGCGACGACTACAAACTGCTTTCATACTGCTTACAAACGGCTTACTTTACAAACTGTTTTCAAAAATTATTTTGCACTATGTTAGAATGGGAAGGACATTCTTCAATACAATTAGCTACAAATTTTGTCACAAATTACATTTGCTGACCAACAACACAATTTGCAAAAAAGGTTCTTAATTTCCTTATCACTTTTGTGTGACCAATCTCACTTAGTAAAAAATTGATCAGACAAACTTTCAGTAAGAGCAATCGTATACATTGTAGAAAATCTAGTAGTGGTAGCCTATGTCATGTACTGTATTGGTCCAGTCTAATTCAGGGGTTGCTCAAGAAGATGGGAGTTATAAAAATAGTAAAATGTACAATCAAAGAAAGATAATAACCAAACACACGCCATGTATGCGCGACTGTTGACAAACCAATAGTTTAACGTGTTTTTCACGTATAACATCTGGTGTCCAATGATAAGTTACCTTGGCGGCACACTTGGATATGTGATTTGTGAGGTCCAGCCCAGAGGCGCCTCCTCCTATGATGACCACATTCTGGTCGCGAAACTGCTCAGGTACTCTGTAGTCATGACTGTGAATCAATGTCCCTTGGAACTGCTCTGCACCCTCCACCTTGGGGTAGAACGGGGTGTTGTTCAACCTACAATCACAATTTGTAATTTAATTGTAAATTATTCGTGTCACTAAGTTATCTATCTATTTATAATATCTTAGACCATTTTAGTGTTTCCTTTTTATTTTTTAATAGTTTTGCGATATGTTGTTCTAAGTATATACTCTATTCAACCTTGCATAATCCATATATAAATCTCAAAGTACCCATTAACTTTTGAGAAAACTAAAAGTCTCACCCCCATAAACCATATACTTAAAATATTCGTCATGACGAGAAACCTTGCACAAAACTATCCATTATTTCATAAATTGCCCTTTAGGTCGTAATTCCTTTCTAAAGGGAACTTTCCATATACCTAATTTTAAAAATACCTCAGTTGTGCCTAATTTATTTATTTGTTTGTTATTTTTCGACGGGTTTCACCTAGTAGTTAATGATAGGCTATAACATATTATTGCATTCTGTTTTGTTTATATCACCTTAACTTAGCCAATCAATAGTTGTTTAATACTTGTGAAGACAAAAGGGGTGAAGCCCGTGGGCAACAGCTAGTAGTATTTTAATAGTTTAGCAGAATTAATAATCTCATTAACATTATGGTGCGGGTAAATTTACAATCATAGCATACCCGATGACAGTGTGATTTTGCAATGTGCAACAACAATGACCGCCGGATATGCCTAAAATGCCTTCTATTAAATTTGTATTCCGCATGAAAAAAGATGACAAATGTTCCACTGATCTAAACTACACAATCTTCGTTCGACCTGTTACATAAACAATTTGTGTGCTGTTACATTAGATCTGACTTTATCATTGTTGATAACCCCGGATGGAAGGTTTGGCGACCTCGGCACAACAACGTGAGACACGTTGTGCTGGCTTTGGAAAATTTTCTTTTTTGCCCCCTTCAGAATGATGTCATTCTAAAAGAGATTTCAACATTCCCTCAGTAATTGTAACCTTTATTAATTAACGTTTTATTTGGCTACGTTGATGGAGAAGATTATATAAAATCCATTACTCACGTTTTGACAAACAAATAATTTTTTAGCTTGTATAAAATACGCATGAATGTATCGACAATGATAACTTTGTGCCATCAAGAATAAGGTATCTGAATTAGTTCCAAATTTGGTGTAGGCCTATTATGGAAGAATATTGTGTGAAGTATTGGAACATCCGTACAATTTAAATCCCATTATGACTTCGTAATCGTTATAAAGTTCTTGAAACATATCTAGTTATCAAAAATATCATACTGAATTTTGGAAAAGGTCTACTGACAAAATCTAAATACTTTTTCAATCCATATTGAATAATCCCAATTAATTGTTGTCCAGGGGCACATTTGTTGGGTTAATTAAGATTGGTATAATATACTAAAATGTGCTCCTGGATATTAATTTTTTACACGTTTTCATGTATTTTAAAAGCATATTGTGTGAAAATCCACAAAAGTATAGTGTGGGGTAAATGTTTTTTACATATCTTTAAGAACAAGATTGTCCATTTTGTCCAGCGACAATGTAATGACAATGTAATAATCCTTGGTCACTGATATTATCCGAATGGGAATTGTCAAGCTTAATTTAAATCTAAGGATTTGACGTTTCTTTGGACATTTCTTGTAAATCCCATATTTTGTGCATGTCCGCTTGGTTGGTACTTTTAGTAATTCTTTGGCTGCATAAAGATAAGACACTTGTATTTACCCGTTGCAAATGAAGAGAGCGTCGAACGTGTAAGTGTTTTCTTGCTGATTGGGAAGGTCCACGACCGTAACGCGCCACTTTCCGTCCTTGAAACTCATCTTCTTCACGTGGTGATTGAACTGAAAACATGTTCTTATTTCATATTCAGGTTCTTAAGAGGTGTCCCAAAATGAGTTATTAGTGGCATTTTAAATATAACAGTGTGGAAATGGACACAAGTCAAAATTAAAGTTACTAAAAGTTAAGTAAAGTGAAGTGTCACATACTGTAACTGCAGGTTTGCGTGTCACAAAGATGACATAACTCAAAAATATCGTTTTTTATTAATTACCCAATACCGAAAGTAGTTATTTTCTATAACAGCTGATATCAAAGAAAGTAGTTGTTTCAGGGAAACAATCAGCTGATTTTCCCTTGCTCTAAATTTACTTTCCTCGCTCTCAATAAGTTCTTAATTTATTCACTACGCGCGCTCGTGTTTTGTCATGGTTAATTTTAATGATTCAAATCAGCTGTTTTCATTGCTGCACAATCTAAATGTAAGTTACATAGAAACAGGCATTGGTTTGTTTCTTTGTGTTTTCAGCATAGCGCGTGTTTGAAATTGCTCAAAATACGTCTAACATGCCTGATGATTAGATGAAAAAATCTTAAGAGATGACTTACAACCTTCCACCAGAGAAATCACGGGAAAGATCATGAAGAAGAAAACAGAAAGTTTACGGACTGGTACAAAGTACAAGATGTCTAACTAAATTAAGTCAGTGACGAAGTATTTATTAAGATTTTTAACTGAAAAATAAATAATCCTGTAACCTTAAACATTGTGAAGTGATCAAGTTTCGATTAAAACGTGGTCTAAAAGTAAAAAAAAAAAAACATGTGGATGTTTCACAACATCAAAGAACTTATAAACGAAGGAGTGATTGTCCCCAACTCTAAGAAATCTTGAAAAAATTATAAAAGAACTCTAAACAATAACTCTCACATGACCCGCCCGAATTACTCGGTGAGCACCCAGGGGAGCGTGTCTTGGGGGCATGAAACTTGAGCGCACGCCAGAAAATTCTACTTTCCGTCCTAGTAATGAAATATACTATTTCAGTGCCAATTTAACCTGACCATTTTACTAACGTGTGAAAACCGCGTAGATGCGTTTTTCTGTGTACATTGCAAAAATCTGTAATTCGGATGAAAATCAAATGTTTAACATCTTTTTTTATTTAAAAGTGTTTTTAATAAATCGTGGTGGAAGGGAGTAGAACAGTGTAGTGTTGAGTGTTTTTTATTGTCTTTTTTGCTGGTAGGTTTGGCAATTAAAACTTTAAATCAAAACTAATAAACCCGAAGCAGATCAAATATTAGGCCTATACGCGCCCCAAAGTAACACTAGTCATCTACAGTCCAAAAGCCAATGTCAGCACACGTCCAGGAAAGTAGAACTAGTTCTAAGAACTTGTCTCATCATTTAGTTTCCATTTGATAACCAGTTCTAACAATGTTACATGCTGACGTACCTTGCACACACTGCGAATGTTGAACATTTCCGTGTAGTCCTTCAGGTATTGCAGGATTTCAGGCGAAGTCAGGTACGATTCTGCCGTCTCTTTGTGTTCTAGTTCAGGAAACTTTACAACGTCTTTTGGTACGTTCGTTCTGAGAAAAAAACATGTGGTTATCAGCTGTTCCAGAAAAACAGTTGATCAACAAACTTAAATATGTAACTGACTTAAACCGGTCCCTAATCTGAGGGTAAATAAATTTAAAAATAAGAAAAGTGTTGTCTGCAAATGTTTGTTGTTTGACAATGAAATTGGCTACGGATACTGTTTGAAGAAAACATGGTTTAGTGAGCCTTCGCGTAAATTGTGTTACATTAAAGGTATAATTTCTCCAGAAGTGTATGTACAATATTTGAAGGGGAATAAACTTTTAAGTGTACTTCGTAGTGAAAGTCAAAGGTTACTCGATTCTCCTTTATAGTACAACTGTGCAACTTTATGAGATTAAGCACGTAAAAAACATCTCTTGTCTAAGGATCGACGTATATTTGTAAATATGTCATCCATTTCAATATTAACTAGGATTAGTAGCCTTTTACCGTTGACTCCACTCATTTAAGAGGTGAAGTTGAAGACATAATAATTCAAATAAATTTAAATTTGGAATGAAAAAACGTAAGCATTTTAACATTTTTACTATGTCAAACAGTTGACCAAAACAGTAAATGTGTATTTATCGTATCTCTATCGTTTCCACTCGTTACAAAGTATCAGGTGTAAATATCAACAATGTTATGACCTTGGCGCTAACTGGACACAGCTCGCTTGTTCCATGGACCGATTAAGATAGCAGAATTGTGTTTGTTTAGGTGTTTAGCCAACGGTAGAGAAAACTCATTAAGGGAAATCCTAGGTTGAACTAGTTTAAAAGAAATCAAAGTGATAAATAACACTAAGGGCAAAAAAGTAATTTTTACTTAGTGCTAAATTTATTACACTTTTGTCTATAAAAATTTGCCTGCCGTCTTGTAATTTAGGCGTCCCTAAATTTTTACATAGAGTGTTCCTGAAGAACATGACAAGATATTTTCTTCTTGGAATTTTCATAGCTACACAAGCCACTTTTAGAAGTATAAAAGAGGACGTTGGTTTGTATTTTGGCAGTGATAAGCTCAGACACCGCTGGACCGATGGCCAAGAAACTTGGTACATACGTGTAGAACTTCATGTAGGTTTATACACCATTAATTTCGTGATAACTTACAGGGCTTATCCCTGGGACCGTCTTAAGGGTGCCCATGACAGGGATTTTGAAAGAACCTTTATTAATTAAGGCTATATTTGTTTACTAAAAAAACACATAAAAGTAAAATGTAAATTCTTTAATCCTTTACTTTGAAATGGTGACCATATGAAAGTATGTATTTTAAGATAAGTAGAATGGAGATGAGTGTAGTATGAGTGGCGCGATCTTGTAGTCTTGTTTGTGACTAAGGCCGACATTCCTTAGACACAGCTGTTAATTAATAGCCCATACAGCTAATGGCAACTAAGGGACCTACAGTTTATGGAATCCGAACGAACCACATTTTTCCTTGGTATATACGAATCGGTATAATTATCAGGATAGTACTGCGGATAGTCGTAGTACTAACTCGTGCGGTCGTTAATCCACACCAGGGAGTATCGCATCCACAGTGCATGCATATACAAATCCACAATTCGTAACCTATAGTAGTTGGATTACAGGACGACGCCACCGTCCCAGTCAGGTGATGTAAAATTAATGGTTTGTTTCGTTCCGTTATTAATTTGTTTATTTGCAGATTTGTTTCTTGGTGCCATAATGAAATAGACTTTTGGATGTATTTTAAATGCAATACACTATATTAATACGCTGATATCTAGTATCTTTTATAAAGTTATTAGTTTTGATTTTGCCATACAGCTTAATGCAAGATTTTCATTGAAATAACCAGGTAGGCCTATGATTGAGATTTGCCTGTATAATTTGCATGATAAGTGTGTGTAACTGTTTTACAGTAAATTTAAGATACCCAGTATTCTTGTCCCGTTGCAAAGCACGGGCAGAACAACTAGTTGATTTCAAAATACTGTTGCATCCCTACAATGTGTAATAGTGTAATAGTGACGTACCTTAGGTCCCTGTACATGCTGGTGTGGATGGGTATCCCATACTGGTCCTTGCCCACACTCTCTGTATACTGCCAGGTGCCTCCTACGTCATTGGTCTGCTCAAACACTGTGCAAGACATCCCATTGGCTAGACAATGCCTCGCCGCACACAGTCCTGCAGGACCTGCCCCCACCACTCCTACTCGCATGGCCATCTGTGTGTGAGAGTAGTATAGTCCTAGTCTTCCTGGTCTGGACGAGCTATATTCGCCGCTGCTGCCGCACGTCTGACGGTCGGAGGCGCTCCGTCACTTATATACCCTCGGTCCCAGCCAAGGCCGCGTCGCCTTTAATTTGCGTTTTATTTTACCAAGAATCGCAGTTGCTAAGGTTTGATGTGCTTTTAAGGGTTTTACAATGTGTGCGATTTATCATGATGTAAAGAACTCTATAGTCTAGGTATTCTGTGTTAGGTTACCTTGGGATATAAAATGGTAGATAATTTTCAAGTTTTGCTACTAATGCCGATTTTAATGGTTAACAAAACCGAATTGAAAGTCATCATATTTATTGTAGTTGTTAACCACATTAGGAGTTAATTTATCACCAATATGAGAATGTTAGATTCAACAAATACTTCCTGTTTAGAGGAATTCATGAATTTATTTTTATTTATATGTTAAATTTATAATATACAATTTACAAAAATACCGGTTTTCCCCAATAAATACGTCACGCTCTTAAAAACATTCAAATCAAAGCATATACATCCTCAATGATATAATGCGTTGGTTTAAGGAACTCCTTAATTAAGGAACTCCAGCAAAACAAGTATTCTTTCTTGTTGTTAAGTACGGAATTTCATAAAAAATACTCTGAAATACTACGTAGTTGCTATATCAGTTGCTTTCCAATGCCAATTTGATTCCATTTTCCATTATTGAGGAAACGTGTTAATATAACAATGAAATGTCGGATAGCCGGAAAACTATACAGATTACCAGTTTCTCTCTAGCAGGCCACCATTAGTCATATTCTCGATAGATGTTGTTTCCTTGTTGTTGTGACAATCATATACGTCAAGATTCACTCTTAGACTGTTTACGAAACTACCCACTTATTTAGTTCCATCATCAAATTGAATACGCCATAGGCTTTGTATTCATTGCCATAACCTACAGGTCCCTAAACAAACTAATATCAATCTAATTTTTGAAACAAAATAGTGTATAAATAACTTTGTATACATGGATCCAGTGATAAAAGATCTACTTTTCCTACGCTGTTTTTATTTAATTGTAGGGGCCCCAATTGCAATAATGGTTGTAATACCTCTGATTCCTCTGGTTTTAGCATTGGTTATAAATTAAGCATACCTTTAATTCGCAGATTACAATTACTATGTATAAACGATGTATCCAACTATGAATCTAACACCAACTCTCCTCAGGATAATATTTATTTATTAAAAGCTACATACAAATGTTGTTTTTAACTCTCCTTAAGTTTGTACTCTACTTACTTATCTTAGTCGTGAGCATTTACATAAGCTTTTTATCAAACCGCCGAACTAGTAACTTTCCAATAAAAAGTGAGTGTTTGTGTCAAAAAAGTAACAAAAATAATAACACCAGTTGAGACTTTAAAATCTTTTATTTAAATCAACTGTCAAGAAAGTTGTCGGTCAGTGTTCAGATATTATGTTTGGGTTTCTAAACCAACAAGTTGAATCTCGAAAACGAAACTTAAAACATGAAAATTGATGCTCTTTGATGTTATATTAATTATTACAAATTAAAATGTGGGCACTACTGAGACTGTACCTACGTATACGTATTAATCCAAATATAAATGAAAGATGGATGTAGGATGAATAAATTAGAGAAGGCTGTGGTAAGGTGTTAGTAGTGAAGTATTGTTACTGGCCAAGATCAGCTGTTTCATTATCCAGGTCCATTTATTAAAAGCCCAATGATCACTACAGCTGGGTCAAGTTTCGAACCGTCAAAATATTAGGCCATGCTAGGTGAATAATTCAAACTTTTTATTGAATATAACAGATGTTATACTTTCTTTAGGGCTCAATATTTCAATATGTTTAGGCCTACTGCACATCTAAAATTCCATTAACAAACCCCCCTGGAGAGATATGGCCTTACATTCATTAATGTTTTCTAATTATTGTTATTGTTATTGTTGTCAAAAATTTCCTATCACTTCACACGCAAATTTACCGAATAGCAAATATAATTTGCGTCATATGATTCACTGGCCTCACAACGTGCGTTAAAAATAAACCAAGATAAATAATCATCATAGATAACAAAAATTTACATCACAAAGTGACGTAATTTTTTCACGATGCACTTTTATCTCCTTACATAACATTCATAAATAAATATTTTGATAAAAATCCACTTCCGTAATGTATATTATATAATTAAGTTTCTAAGCAAGTAAGTTGGGACAATCAATAGGTATTGATAAACTGGTTTGAAAAATATCATACTACCAAATTCTATGCATCTTGTAAACATCTTTTCTACCACTTATTTATACGAAGTGATCTGGGTTGGTAGTCAAATGGTTATTATAGTGCTCGCCGGATCGGTCCTGAGAGAAATCAGAAGCGTTTGGATGGTTCGAAACTGGGTCCAGCTGTTTCGGATCATTGGAGCTTTGGCTAATAAAGCTGCTTATCTTTTAGTCAGTCAAAAAGCTACACATAAATTTCACTACACTGCATTCTACACTTATCCTTCGCTCTTTTTTTTTTAATATGCACCTAGGTTGAAATGATTTGATTTGATTTGAGGTGCCGTCCCCATCTGAATTTATAATAATAATAATAATAATCGCACATTTGGTGGCCAGTTTTGTTATTCGATGCACTAATTGCAATTTTTTATCTTTATAGTTTTAAATTTTTTTATATGCAGAAACAAAGTTCAAAAACGTGTGGATTCTCAAAAGGCTATACGCATAGAACTTTAAATTGTTTGGAATGTCTATTGCCAGATAAGTGTTAAAGGCTTTCATATTTGATACGTCCAAATATTTTCCAGTAAGTGATTGAAATCTTTGTCTGATTTAAAAATGTGGCTTCCTGATGTTCCCTATAGCATAATGCAGACAGAATTCACTATTGCCTCAAGCGACAAAAATCCATTCCAGTTTACAATAAACACGTCATACATGATTGTAGCCTATAATTGGGTTATGCTAAATACTATTTTGTCTCTAAACTGCGTTATTCCAAGTGTATGAAGTCAGTGTCTCAAATTAATGGCCTTAAAAGCTGATCTTTAATCACAATCAGGCCATGCCAGTGTCAGCTGATATGACATGCCAGTAATTTCTATAGGTCAACAGATTATTGATAGAACAATAAACTAGAAAAGTTTGTTCGCTGATAACCCTAAGAACTACTTCAGACTGGTCTAGCTCTGGCTACTCTGTAATTAATACGTGGCTACTCTGTTGATTGTCGTCTCAATGATTGTCTCTATTATTGTTAAGGATGTGGTTTTGGTAATAGCCATTACTGGTACTTAACATTCGAGCGCTACACATTTCATATTATTTGTTTACGCAAACGTAGTTGCAAGTAGCAATCCTTAAGATTAGAAAAAAATCAACATTACTTCACGACAGAAGTATGTAAAAGAGATCAACTGTAGCCTATTAAAAGAGTACTGAACTGATATTCATCCAGTAATTAAACCATCATTGAACATTGTTACTACTTATTAAAACTATCAATATAGTTTTATAAGAAACGTGGTTGATTAAGGGTTCCCAGAGGGTAGAAAATTCCACTTATAAATATCAAAAATATAATCAAACACCGAATTCGAATCATCAAAAAGTTATAGGTGGTATTTGAGAACCTGCAACTTTCTGATCACCATGAGAGCGCTATTATAATCATTCAGCTACCCAGTCACTCAGACCCTAGGCATGACGTGAAGACAAATCAATCTTATTATACCATTTTCTCACTGGGTATGAAACTTTATTAACTTTTTTCCTCAGTAACAACAAGCCGAATCAAGCCATTGTTTTTTTTACGTGTATTAAGGCCGTGGATCAACCAAACCGATACAATACAATTAACACAGCGACCAGAAAGCATCTAACCATCACCAACGAAACTGCGATTGACCTCAATATCAAAAGATATAACAAATTCAAACCACTAAAATTATAAAGACGAGAACAGAAAACACACAATCAATCTCATTCAAACAAAATCGACATAACATTGATCTGTGGGATTTTGACCGTGTCGGCCCTCTAGGACTAAAATGAAAAACATTTAATTATGTAGCTGCATGGTTAAATTATCGAACCAATTCTTCAAAGCAATTCGTCAAAGAATCGGAACGGAACGGAATCGGACTCACTCGATCGGACCCACAGGTAGGTTGGATTCAGGATTGGAATTGGATTGGAAGAAAGAAGGAATGAAGGAATGAAAATTGTTTTGTTTTGAATGGATTGGTTGTAGGTTTAGGTTATGAGAAGACAACAACAAAACAATCGTTTGTAAACTTTCTTCAATCTTCATTTTATTATTATTAACGAATATTCAAGTAATACATTATTCATTTTATAGTTATTCAATATGTCCGATGACGAAGTGGAAGCCTTCGACATTACAGATGAAGATCTTAACCGGGCTTTTAACCCTGGTGCAAGAAGATTTCGAGGAGGCAATTCAAAGAATCAACAAATTTATGGTAAGTAAAACATTATTTGGTACTTTTAGGCTTACATTACAAAACGATTAGTGAAGAGTTTTCGTTGAGATGATGTTATGAACAACCAAACAACTTAATTGAATAAATGGCAAGGCAGTAAAGGATTAACAGCCACTAGCCTAGGTCAACCATTGATGTTTCGGGGGCAATTGGGTCTTTTTTCAGTTTTTCCATCTGCTCTCTGTGCTCCCTCAGCTAATTAACAGCTTACTCTACTAGTATTGATTAGGCTAACTGAAACATACTCCCTTGCGTTGGTTAGTCTAGGCCTATGCTGAGACGTTCTAGATTGGCAGTTTCTCTTTCACATTTGCAAGACGAAATATTTATATTATGCTAGAGGGCAGGAGTGTGCCTACGAAAATTTATTACAAATAGAAATTGATTTACAGGTAGCATTTTTAGTTTAAAACAAGTCAGCGGCAGCTATAGCGGGCCTGCGGTGCGGTGCGGGGGGCCCGTGAGCCTTGACCGGGATTTTTGGGAAATTTTACTGGGACATGGGCCCGTGA